GTTCGCCGTAACGTTTTATTTGTTTGCACAATCCTCCGCCTTACATAAAAGGGCTGTGAACATTTATTCGTACGCGTTTTTCGTTACGACTCTACAAACAACGACAATTGTATCGCAAACATTCAACATTTTTTAGTAACTTATGTATGATACAAACAAGGCATAGAGATTTTTTTTAGTCAAACCTTACAAAATTATAAATATTAATGTAAGAAAAAGAAAGAACGAGAAATTGTAACACTTCTTTCTTCTTTCAACTCTCTAGCGGCAGCCGGAAATTTTTAAGTGGTAGGATATCAGCAAATGTAAAACACAATTGATCTTTAAATTTGGCGCGAAATTCATAGCGTAATAGAAACAATAGTAGCTTAAATTCAAATTTGCAACATTCAACGACTTTGTATCATTTCATTGGCACGGCTTTGTTAAGGTTGCTGCAACTCATTCGTTTTGCAAACTAGGTTTTTTAACTTTAGCGACTTTACCGCGTACGTAACTATATTTGCGAAAGTTTCACGATAAACTTATTTTTCACTGTTTACCATAGATTAAAAAACAAAAGTATAATTGAAATAAAATTAGATTTAAATATTACATATCTGTTATAAAACTTGAGAGGGATTTTGCGCAATGAAATGGAAAATTGAATCAGCTTTTTTGTTCGGATTACGGCTCGCTCCTATCATGTAGAACACTCATTGAAACTGTTCTTAAGTGTTGTCCTTTTATGTAGATACTCCTATAAATGTTTGATAGGGCCATCTCGGGAAATCTCTGTCTCTGCGCGAGAAGGGTCCGCTGGCAAATAAAACGGAAATCTCAAATATTATTCCGCGACTTTTCCTGCTCCTTCACGATGTGAACTTTTATTTTTATGTTCTAACGTATTCTTATCGGTAGACAGACACGCTCTCCCAAAAATTTACTGACAAACTGATGCGCACATTCGCACAGAATAACAATTGTTATGTTGTCTTTTTATTTAATATGTGTTTTATCGCTGGGAGCAGCTGCTTACAATACTTTTGTAGTCGATTTAACATTTGTAAGTTCAAAAAGATTGTAAGTACATTTAACAAAGGTTTTATTAGTAAGTAGATCTTAATCATATTTCATTCAGTGTAACCATTGAGCTGTTAATCCTTGGTGTAAAGTTCAATCTTTTTTTGATGTAAATTCATAGAGTCAGAATGTGTTCCGTGTAGTGCCGACACCAGCCCAGGCAAGGCACAGGTACGATGACGCAACGTAACTGCGATAACATTTACACAAGGGAAATTCCAATATCGAACTATTTGCGCTTTTTCCCCAAATGGAATTTCTTTGTGATGTACACACGATAAATATTCTAAGAAAAATGTTTGGTTCAAACGTTCAAAGCAACTTAAGAAAACTAGTCGAATAATACGATTTTTTGAACGATTCCTAGATAATTTTGTTGTTTTTAGATTTTTTTTAAGAATTTATCTACTATTTGAGAAAGAAAACGAACAGTTTTAAAATTAAAGCTCGTCTAGAAAGTTAATAATCCTTGTATCATACAAAAAATGCAATGAAACACAATTTATTTAGGACCACAGAAGAATCAGAATAATCTATCGTATTAACTAAGTTAAAGTTTAAGTATTGCATTTTTATTTTCCATCGTGTAACCGTGATGACGTAGCGCCGTTCGCCATGATATTGTAATCTACTGGCGAAGAGAAAATTTCATTAACGCGTTCCATGTTCAATTACCGAATAGTGGGCACATACTGCCAGGTATTGACTGACAACCTACTCATATATTGATTGCTTGTTGGTTATAAACTTACTCATAATAATGTCTGGACGACAACTTATTATCTGCCATGAAAGCTGCGCTGAAAAAAATTTAAAAAAATCTCCTGGTGTCTTAACTTTTTGGTGTAACCCTTTCAAGTCAATTAGTTATTGAGCTTGAGCATTAACCTAGTATTATATTGGCTGATAAATTTGATATTTTCTTTAAAAAAAATGTTTGCAAGTATAGAAAAGAACAATCCTCTTTTAAAACAGAAACAACATCGTGACAAGAAGGTTTTCTTATTAACCGCATGATTTGACAAAAACATAATGATTCTAAACATCATCAATAACAAATTAGAGTTTTTGCTCCATTAAGATTTTGTAATTTTCAAAAAGGAAAAGGAAATCATTATTTAGTTTAACAAAGTTTAGTACAAAGTTTAACCAGTTTATGTTTATGTAAAATAAAAATATTTTGTATCCCGAATCATGAGCGATACTGTTAAATAATTTGATTCTTTTACAATTATCCATGTTTGATAATTACGATTTTACATTACATCTTTTCAAGATAAAACTTATGAATATTCCAGTAATAAATAATTAAATTAAAAATGTCCAAAATGTGAGATATTGACATAGTACGATGTCGATAGGTATCGTGTTGCTATTTGGAGGCTCTTCGCGGAGAGTCAATTTCATTACCGCGCTGCATGTTCAATTACCAAATATTCCCCGAATATTGATTGGACTCAGTGATATCGCGGTCCATCTATGCACTGCCTGTATTAGCCGATTAATACATCAAGTAAACTGACCTAGGTGAAGCTACGTAATAACTACGGGGATAAATGTTTTCCAAATATCAATAGACTAATGTTTTTCGCAGATACGAATGCATATACATATTTGACTTTGTATGTATTTTCATTTCATCGCAACATCCTAAAGCCCTAAACGGATTGGTTGACTTAACACATTCTTTGAAATTCTTCGCAGATATGGGCAGGTTGCATCACTCTGTTTCACGTGCCATAAGAACGTCGAATAAATGTACATATGTAAGTCAAAAATCGAAAACACATTGGTACACGGCGGGATTCCAACCCAGAACCTGCAGGTTGAAACTCAAGTGCTTAACCCCTAGCCACCGAAGCTCTTAAGCCTTAAGAGCTGGTTCTATTTTGGCGTGTATTTAGGCTTACTGATGTTTTAAAATTAATAAGGATATACATATTACATTGTTGTTTGAATGAATACGAAATCGTAGATCGCATTATCGGTATTCGTTACATATCTAACTCAATTAATCCTTGTCCTGTGCGCTCGAGCGAGCCACCTCCGTCAAAGTCGCCGTTGCAGTTAGATAAATAATTCCACTCGTTCTTATACCGCACCGCTGCAGCTAAATTACATTTGCTACAGTCGTCTGCTTCGCTATTCGCTACTCGTGGAATAGACAAACTCTAACTATAAACGTTTTTTTTTTTTTAGAATTCATTCTCTTTTTATAATACCAATGATAATAAATATAGAAACATGATGAGCTTCGAAAATTAGCCGAATCGTTTAAAATAGTTAAAACAATAAATCAGATTTTACATGGGTATATCTAATGCGATTTGTAGATGTAGCTAACGCAAGCTACGATCTCTATTTGGATATGTTACAGTTAAATCATATTGATGACTACGGTTTACTTTAATAATTTTAGTCTTTAGTTACCATAGAGCAACAAACAACTTTTATGCATTCGTTATTCATTCAGTAAATGACGCTTGAAATAATGACCGACGATAGATCAGTTGTTAAAGCGATAAATAAGTGTAAATGTTTAGTTTGTCTCTTTATTTGGTAATTTAAGCCTTCAAAATATTTAAATAAAATGATCATGCAGTTTGTAAACGAAATACTTTTTTTATACTAGTATTTCTTGTCATTCATCCATTGTAGTTTAAATGAAGTGACCAATATTTGATGAAGAAGTATTGTGTAATCTTACTGCCATCGGAAATTTAAGTAGCAAATATTGTATAGAAAATGGATCTACATTACGAATCAATAAGCAAAAACATTTATAATTTGGATAAAAATCTCTTTTGTAATAGAACTGTGTATAATTACATAATAATAAACAAAATCATATTAGGTCAATACTGATAAACTATTCGTATCTGCTTCATAGATTATCGCAAGTAATTTAATTTATAGCTGTTGTTTATTAAATTATGAGTCAAATTCGTCACGTACTTTCCCAAACTTCACCAAAATAAAAAAATAGAATATTACCGAGCATAAAATCAGGGCAATACAAATTTCTGGTTCAACAAGGTACACTACTCGTAGTTCCGGACATAACAAATGAACTGAAGGGGAGAACTTAGATCAATGTTATCAAATAAAATTATCAAGAAGCAAGCGTACCTTTTTCTCATAGGCTGGTTCTGCAGTTCCTCTAGTGTTGCGGATGTCCTTGGCCGTCGATGATCACCTCGGCGTACCTGCCGCTCCTTTGTCCTCTAATGATATAAAAAAAAAACAAAGTTTATAAAACAGGTGATATCTAGTTATATTAAAAACTTTTCCATGTATTAATTTGTAAATATATTCATACGTAAACAAATTATTATGTATACTAGGTAAGTAAATTGTTGGTTCAAAGTATTTTCTAAGAAATTACGTCGAGATAAAAGGCTTCTTACAGACTCTCGTATAAGGGAAAATTAAATATGAATACCTTTACCCTTGATATAGAATATTCCACTTCAATACGTTCACTTTGAACTTGGACGAACTTCTGGTGGATACCGCATACTTTTTGCTTCAGTGTACCCCGCAATGAGGCTCAATCTTTAGTTTTTATTGAAATTCCTTGAGGAAAATTATTGAAATGAAACTAATTTGACAATATTATATTGTCATATTCGATCTTGAGGGTAATATTAAAAATTATATTTTCGATTCTTACCTATGTGTTTAGAAGTTTATAAATTATATATTTTGTTTGTATAATGTGTGAAATACTCAAATTTTTGAGCATTTCGAATGCTCACTCTAATTAATTAGCTATTGTTCTTTATACACACTTCGTATTCGTATAATTTATAAACTGCGTGCATTTGTTTTGTTATTTACTTTTATCCTCTAAATTAATCAAATAACTATCTTTAATTCTAAAAAAGTAATTAGATATACGCTTATAGGATGTAAAGATTACAGAAACGACATTTTTTATTATATCAAACGATTTATTACAAATTAGACATTAACATCATCCATATTTATTGATTCAGCATTAATTCGTTGTTTGCTTGGTTCGGTCATAGAGTTAAGAGTAGACGGCGGGGATGTCGTCCTTGCTCCAGTCGATTTCGACGGTCTTGCCAGTGCGCGCGCTCTGCTCCGCCGCGTTTGCGATCTTGCTCACTGCTAGCGTTTGCCAGCTGGTCACCTCGGGCTTGTCACCGACTGTAAAATTGACGTGTTTCAATTGTTATTTTTCCGAGTTTATGTATACAAATCCACTCTTCATTTTGAAACAGACGTTCATAGCCATATTTCTAATTTCACAATAAAAATTTAATAATTAACATTACGAAAATAATTCAAATTAAAAACTTAAAAATGAAATGTATGTGTGTATTTTCTCATATTATTTTAAGAAATGGCGTTGGTGTTTCCGCTTTTTGTATATACTCTTTTAAAGCTTTGCAAAACGGTCGGATGACGTTTAGTAAATAAAAGAAAAAACTCACATTGGACAACATCTAGGAAGTGCTCGAGTTCGTATTTGTAGGCGGCCTTGTAGCGGGACGGGAATGAGTAGAAGATAGGGTTGGTTTTGACGCCCTCGTGGCCGAGATAGCTCTCCAGCGATGGGCAAGGCTTCTCGTTTTCTACCTTCAGCATACCTGAACAAATTATAAAGTAAATCTACTATATTTTGACACAGAATCAATTTGGAAAGTATTTTTTGCAAAGATTTCAAGTTTCACATTCATTTATACAACTAATAACGTTACCCTTGTTTCCGAACACTTCGAGCCTCTGGTCGTATCCGTAAGCGCTGTAACGGCTGTTGTCGCCGATGGCAATGGCGCCAGAGGGGAAGGTAAGGAGGAAGGCGATGGTGTCAAAGTCGTCGATGGCCTTGATCTCTGGGATGAGCGCGGTGGCGGACGACTGCACGCGGATCGGAAGCTCGCCCAGCACCCAGCATGTCATGTCAATGTCGTGCACGAGGCAATCGTGGTACACACCGCCTGAAGACACATATCCTCATCTTATCCAGTTTCACAGTATAAATAGACTAGAAACGCCTACATTATTAATAGTATCTAAATATACACGTACTTACAAATATGGTTCGTACATACCTAGCTGACCTTGGAAAAAAGAAAAAGCAGAATGTTTGAAGGTGATAACAACTTGTTTTTTGTTATTTTTACATCTATTATTATAGAAATATAGTTATCAAAACAGCATATAAATTACCGGATGTCTTCAAGTAGTCAACGGATGGCAGCGGCGAGTCTCTGGCTGTAACTTTGACGATCTGAACGTGTCCGACGGTGCCCTCCCTGACTCTTTCCTTCAAGCTCCTGTAGGCGGGGTCGAAACGACGGTTGAAAGCTGAGAATAAGGTCTTTCCCTTGCTCTTGGCAGCTTCGTAGCACTTAAAGGTGTCTTCGCTGGACTCCGCGATGGGTTTCTCGCAGAAGACATCTTTGTTATTGGCAATCGAGTTCACAACAATGTTGTGGTGGGTGAACGTCGGGGAGCAGATGAATACGACGTTAACACTGCAAAAAGAAATGCGGTTTAGTTTAATAGCTACTGATAGTTATAATACTAAATTAGTTAAAATATTTTTATTTCTTATAGGCAAAGTAATTTATTTTACCTCTTGTCTTTGTATACTTTGTCGCTATCCTTTGACGTGATGAAAGTTACGTCATCGCTCAACTTCCAGTACTTCTTGAGGTCCTTGAACCTCTCGACGCGATCGTCGACAATGTACTTGAGGATGATGCGCGGGTTGTTTATGATGTTGGCGAGGTGGATGGAACCTGCGCGGCCGAGACCGAAGATGGCGCCCACGACCGGTGCCACTGTAGGCCTGCCGTTGTCCTTTGTCATCACGTTATTCAAGTATCTGAATAACAAAAATGATTAGAATTTAGAACATTTTGAAATTATATATATAAAATATATATAACAATTAAGGTTTGAAGTACAATCACATACTCGGTGAAAACGTAATCGACGTCCGGGTAGGAAGGAGTAAAGGTGTAAGGCGTTGGTCCAGCGAACTTCTTAGTAGCCATTCTGATAGTTTTTTATCTGGATAAAAATATAACTTTATTAATACAAATGCTTAGAGTAAAGCAAGTGGCTGGATATCCATCCATCCGCTGAGGTCTATGACATTGCCAATTGAGTTTGGTCATATGATGAGAAAGAAAATATAATCAATGAAATATAGATGAACTTAGATACGTTAATCTCAAAATTTAAAAATGTAAAAATAATCAAACCCGAGAGAAGATGTGTGGTGAGGAACGTTTGGTACCCAAAGTGCGAGTGCAAAAGCGTCTACGTAGTATAAATAGGCATGGCACGGTATATCTCTTCACTTCTCACATAACATAAGATAACCTCCCCGAATGATAAATTATCAAAGAAATAAACACATACAGTGTAAACTCCATATAACGGCACTAAACGGACCAAGTATTTTACGACGTTACATCGAGTGATTCATTTTAAGCGGTACTCTGATTTTTTAAGAAAACAAACAAACAAGCTCTGTCGATGTTATGAGGCGTTCGTTGTTGAGTGTCGTTATATAGAGTTTCATCATCTCCGCCACATGTCGCCCACAGCAGCAAGTGGGCCTTCCCCAAACATTGATACGATGATTGGTCCTGTTCCGCTCCCATAACCGTTAAAAATACACGAAAGCCATTGAGGTCAGAAAAACGTTGTAACAAAACAAATTAAATCCCATCTTTTTTTTATTTCTCAGCATGTCACTTACACTCATTAAATAATATTTATAACCTGTATGACAGACGTACATGTATTATTGTTATAAATCAATATTTTAACGAAATTTTAATATAACTTATGCATTAATTGCTAAGAAAAATAGTACGATCCAACCAATTATAACGAAACAAGTTGTACATAATCCTATTACGTATCACGCACGAACTAACTTGATTTACAAGTAATCCAATGTTAGTTCGCTTTAGCATTAAAACAAAGTTAAAGAAAGCCTTTTGTAGTCTTGAAATCTTCATGGTTTGTTATATTTTTTGTTAATAAGAATATACGATCGCAAATTTTTTCTGAAAATAAACTTCGCAAAATATCCACAAGATTTATTTTTTTCATTTCATTTATTGTTTTCGAACAACGCTTGATTACAAAGGAGCCATAATCTACTATGTTATTCTAATGCTTACATAATAACTTTAAAGAATGTTAAATATAAATATTATGCTCTAGTTTAATTAAATTTTTGTAGGCTATGTCGTTATATATCTTACTAATCTTACATCTTACTAATATTATAAATGCGATTGTTTAGATGGATAGATGTTTGTTTGAAAGTATTTCCATAAAGACTGAACGGATCTCGATGAAATATATGAATAACATAGTCCGGAAGAACACAGAGGCTACTTATTAAGTTTTTTTAATTCCGCGCGGACGGAGTCGCGGGTAACAGCTAGTTTTCTGATAAGTCTTAAATTTTTGAGTTTAATCATTATCATTACGAAAATGTCCCACAATAACAACTCTGCGTTTTTTTTAATATATCCTAAAGTTAATACAAACTTTTGTTTAGGAGAGCGACGGTGGGGCAGTTGTTAAACACTTGACTACACCGGACCGTAATCTAAAAACTTCCAGGTTCGATACCCATATCCATGTCCAAATGTATTTTTAGATTTTCGAATCCATATGTACATTTATGCGACTTCTTACGTTGAATAAAAACATCGTGATGCAACCTGCAGATATTGGCGATTGAATTCAAAGATATGTTTTAAGTCAACCATTTCGCACTGGACCAGCGTGATTGATTAAGACCTAGTCAACCCCAACTTGAGATAGGCGCCAAGCCATACAGTGCGGATGAATAGTGAGCTTATGTGTGAGCAGGACATAACAAATTATCCAAAATCTTACACACCAAGTGAGCTGCAAACATAACATGTATAATCAAACAAGGATATCTGAACCGGTGAGAGAGCCGCTGCCACCGCTGTTGGTTCAGAATATGTATAAAACCTTAGAAATATAAAATTACATAAAATAAAAAAAAAGGCATGACACCTGCAGTAATTATATTTTTTGTTGCAATAACAGGAAATTCACTGTATTTCGACAGTATTTCGATGTAAATATTGGACGAAATAACATTTTATTTATACTCTGTACCTAACCACAGTTTTACAATCTAATCTATGTACATTTTCATCGTATGATTTATATACTCTGTGCGGAAAAAGTGATAAAAAGAATTCCGGTACTTTCCACACCGCTATTAATTTTGTATTTTATTATAATAATTTAACTTATATATAACAAATAGTGAGTATAACAGTGTTTCCAAGTGTTCTGATCCATCTAAAATATAACCTAAAAGTTAACACAATTCCTATTATGACAAATGTTACTGTTTAGAAAGTTTGGATGTAAAACAACTTATAACTTAAATTTTGCAGAACAATGGCAAGCCAGTGGGGACAAAAAGCGGATGAATTGGAAATTTCTAATAAAGTAGCAGGATTGGATTTAGTAAAGAAAAATGAGAATCAGAGATCAGATACAGATGATGCACCTGATGCTGCCAATCCAGCTGAAGCTTCATTGTTGATGAAAATAATAAGACAAGGATTGGTTGAGTCAAAGCTAGATATTGAAGTGCAAAGGAAAGACCCGAATTCTCCATTATACTCAGTAAAAACTTTTGAAGCTCTTCATTTAAAACCAAATTTACTAAAGGGAGTTTATGCCTTGGGTTTCAATGCCCCATCGAAAATTCAAGAAACGGCATTGCCAACACTACTGGCCGATCCCCCGCAAAACATGATTGCTCAATCCCAGTCAGGAACTGGTAAAACTGCTGCATTTGTACTTGCTATGCTTAGCAGAGTAGATCACACAAAAAATTATCCGCAAGTGCTTTGTCTTAGTCCAACATATGAATTAGCAATACAAACTGGAGAAGTTGCTGCAAAGATGGCAAAATTTTGTCCTGAGATTAAACTTAAATATGCTGTCAGAGGTGAAGAAGTGCCTAAAGGAACTAAAATCACTGATCACATAATTATCGGGACACCAGGTAAAATGTTGGACTGGGGTGTCAAATTTGGAATGTTTGACTTGAGCAAAATTAAAGTTTTTGTATTGGATGAAGCAGATGTAATGATTGATCGTCAAGGTCATCAAGATCAGTGTATCAAAATACATAAATGCCTGCCGCCCACTTGTCAAATGATGTTCTTCTCAGCCACATATGACAGTGCCGTTATGGGCTTTGCTGAAGTAATTGTGCCCAATCCAATTATTATTAGACTGTTAAGAGAAGAAGAATCTTTAGATAATATTAAGCAGTACTATGTTAAATGCAAAAATTCAGATGACAAATACAGAGCTATTTGTAATATTTATGGAGTCATTACCATTGGACAAGCAATAATTTTTTGTCATACCAGAAAAACAGCAGGTTGGCTATCAGAAAAAATGTCGAGAGATGGTCATTCAGTAGCTGTGCTGTCAGGAGAGCTTACAGTTGAACAGAGGATAGCAGTGCTGGATCGCTTCAGAGCTGGCTTAGAAAAAGTTTTGATCACAACTAATGTTTTGTCCCGGGGTATTGATGTAGAACAAGTTACTCTAGTAGTTAACTTTGATATGCCTATGGACTTAAATAAAAAAGCAGATTGTGAAACATATTTGCACAGAATTGGAAGGACAGGTAGATTTGGAAAGGCAGGCATAGCAATAAATCTAATTGATTCATCTCAGGCAATGCAAATTTGTTTAGACATTGAAGCACACTTTGGCAAGAAGATCCACCTGTTAGACATTGAGGATGCAGAAGAAATTGAGAAAATTGGAGCATAAGTTACCTATATTGCATTTTTATATTTTCATCAACTGTTCCGAACAGAAATCAATAGTGCTATAATATCAAACATTTCAGCAGACTTGATGCACATGAAAGTGATATCCCTAGATGATTAAAGCTTGTTCTCTATATTTTGATATCGGTCTAAATAAAATTATCTCGAAAGAGTATTTTTTTAATACTTTCAGATATTTCTATGCTGATGCTAACTAGTGATGAAAATCTTATTAAACCCTCAAAATGGTCCCACTCATTAACAGTCCGCTGGCCAATATTAGTCTGTCAGTTAATCGCAATAGACCACACACTATTTTCAAAGGTTTAAGTGAGTGGGCGATATAGACCTTGGACAGCAAGCCGCATGATACAACCAGTGACAGCAGGCGAACTGTTAATGTGTGGAACCCTTAATAGTATCTTGGTTAAGAAAAAACATCCTCTCACTAGAAATGACTTCTACAGAACATTTGATTAAAGCTTTACTACACCCAAGTAAAACTAATAATATGAGGATTTAACTAAATGAAATAAAATACAGTACATTATAATTCATATTAATTTTAGTAATCACTTATGTAGGAAATAAATATTTTTTCTTATTAAAAGTACAATATATTGAAAATTAACGTGTTGGCTGTGGACCCTCAGGATTTGTTGCTCCAGATATCATCACAAAGATGGCAATGGGGACTATGTACATCCACTGTAAGGAAACACATGGTTAGAGTTAGAGAAGAATGTAACAAAAGAAAAAAAATCCACCAATGTATATACAATTTAAGACTTAATTATCCACAAACTCTTATTATATTTTGACTCATACAATGAAAAGAGTTACATATTTAGGATTTCTTGAGAGATGTAACTATTTTCATTGCTTAGTTTATATTGTGTAGCCAGCAAATGATTGAAAATCAAAAATATTTTCATTCAAAAATATTCATACTCACATATTTTGCTAAAAACGACCGATTGTCTTTCAATTCTCCCTTTTCTCGGGCTTCTCTTTCACGCTCAAGTTTTTGTATGTATGAAGCAGTATCAGGTCTGAATAAAAAAATAAAATTATATAGTCATGATAAAAATGATATGAAATTAAAGGCAAACACAAATATACTACAGAACTGTATACTATATGAAGTAAAGCATAATAAAAGTAAAATGTTAGTCATAGATTAAGAAGTACATACGTTACAGCTGCTTCCACTTGGCGCAAGTAGAAGTTAGACTTGATTTTATATACATTGTTCAAACTTTGTGGGAATTGAGACTCTGATGAGTTATTAACTTGGAAGCTCACTGCTATGACTGCTCCGTTAGGCAGTACCCATGCATTTATAACATCTGTCAGTCCATTTTCTAGAAAAGCTTTTGCTTTAACCGAAGAAAAATATTCAGATTCTTTGGTATCTGCTGCTGTTACTAAAGACCTTATGGTATAAAAACCATCAAAGTCAGCTAATTCCTAAAAATGTAAAACAATATTTGAAAAGGTAATTCTTAATAAAACAGCTATACCTTCTTAGAAATCAATTACCTTTAGTTCATTTATGTGTTGCTGCTGAAACGGTTTTTGTTCTATTATAGAAGTTCCAGCTCTTAAACTCTTTAAAGAAATATTACCCCTGGTGCAGTATTTTTCACCATTACAATTAAGCGAGTGTTGAATTTTGATGTTCAACCATCCATCGTATTCTATGCAAGTCTAGAGAAAGCATACACTGATCGTGAAATACATAAAAAGCAGTATAAGAATAATTTATTGAATTTGTAAAGTATTTCAGTCATAAGCAATACAATTATATTCAGCAGTGATAATTATAATTTGTGAATTAAAAAATATTAACTGTTGTACTTTACCGCAAACTGAAGCAGAAGAGAAAAAATAATCGTTACTATCATATTCATTTCGTATAGTTTAGGCAACTTTTTCACTCGGCGAATTATTTTATTTTTATTGAATTTCTGCTAGGTTATAAGATTATTTATGATTTTTATCGCAGATTCACAGACGGCTGAGGAGCATAGAAAAAATGATAAGGACTATCAGTGTTGCTATCATCAACGGTAAACTTTAACTTAATGAAACGTTGTAAACACAAGAAAATTGAAAATTATGATATCGTTGATTTAAAGTTATAAATAAATATGAATTTAGTGACTTCCGAGATATCCTTGCTTGTTTGGCTGTACAGTGTAAAAAAATATCAAATGTCACTTTTTCCATACTTTGATAGTAGTTACGGCAGTGACAGTGACACTTCTGACAACGACTAGATTATAAAGTTATGAAAAATGAGATTATAAGATATAGAAGAATTATGAATGATCAATTACTAAAAATAGTGATCGGTTAATAAATACAACAACAGATTTTACGTTAAATCAAATTTTTGTATAATTATAACATAAGCATATAATGTCTAGCAAATTAAAGTAATGTTTATTCTACTAATTCGGTAAAGTATTTAGCCTAAGACTTTTCAATAACTTCTCACTAATCATAATGGAGGAAGTAGACTCAATAATATTGCACTTTCTTCGTCAATTAAAAGTGTAAGTAAAAATCCACTATTTATTTTTATTGGTAACTAAAAATGTACAATATTGTACTTCTTGATTGTATATTATGTAGATTTGGACTACCATCTATCTAACAAAACTATAGCTGAATATGCCCCCGATTACTATGTACATACACATAAAACCAATATTTTCAAACTTGAGAATATTCAATAGTCAAACTATTTTCCTACTGATTTGTAGTACACAATGTTATCCCAAAAGACCTTTTATAATTGTAACAAATAAATTTTGTCACATTTATTTTTTATTTTTCAGAAACTTTAATGATGATACCAAAAGCCTAAGTGATCTATCAGTTGATTTGATTGTTGAGGCAGCATCTAGATGTATAAGCACAATAAATCCAAATGTGAAAGTACCTAGTAAGTTGCCACCCGGTGTATCACAAAGGATAGAAGTGGCTGCTCAAATTGCCTCTATTTGCAAGGTATCTCTTCATACTTATTTCCTTATGACTACATTACATTTTCTTATACAGTATAAAGGTTATTATCTTATATAATTTAATCAACTATAGGTAATATAAATTTTCTTCAATTTATTTGTAACAGGACTTGGGATACAAAAATGATGTTGGTTATCAGACATTTTTGTATTATAATGAAGCTGAATTGAGACAAGTTTTCATGTTCCTAATAGAAAAACTACCAAATGAAGATAGACACTTAAACACCACAGTACCTACAAAAAAGAAAAATGTTCTACTGCAGGAAATTGCAAACAAAATTAATGAAGAATTGAATACTATGTGGATACCTCCGTGTTGTAAACCTAATTCCAATACAATAGGTGATTTCATTTACACAGAAGGTAAGGTTCTCGCAGCTTTCAGATTGAATAACTAAATTATCATGGTTAAAACTAGTGTGTTCTATATTTTATTTCATAATTTAATTTATTATTTAATTAGAAACTGTAACACACACAACACCATCCTAATTAAGTTGAAGCTGGTATATCCATAATAAAACATTCAATACTAACCTTTCAGATAAATTTACAAAACCTAAAGAAATAAGTGATACAGAAATTATGGAGAAATTACAAAAGCTCAGTGAAATCACTAAAAATAGTACAACAGTGAAACAACAAGAAACAGATAATATTGTTACCAAAAAAATAGTTGCAATTAACAAAAGTCTAAAAGAACTCAAGGAAACTGCTTTTGTATTAAGGCAGAAATTGGACACTCTTGAAAGTGAGAAAAATATTATGGATGTTGAATATTCACAGGTGAATTGTTTACTAATGTTAAAAGAATCCTACTAGGATTTTTTTTAATAACAATAATTACATTTTTTGATAAGTAAAGTATGTTGTTTAAGTTTGTAAACTCATAAAAAAGTCATTGTATTCAATGAGGATTATAACTCTTAAAATTTAATATTTTCTTTTTATCAAAGGCAACTAAATATTGTGAAAAGGCAGAAGCAGATTTAAGAAATGTAGAGAATATTTTACGAGATGTTGGAATACAAGATATTGAAGATGGGACAATAGTAGACAAGTTAGACAAAGTGAGAAAAAATATAAATGCTTTGCACAGCAAGAGTGAAAATCTAACCTCAAAAAATTTAGGTTTGAAAGTTGAGATTGATAAAGTAAAAAGTACAACTAATTTATCTGAGGTATGTAAACTGGCATTATTAATGGTTTTATTAACTTACCTAATTATATTATTCAATAAAATCAATTAACTTGTGTAAATTTTCAGTCAGAGCGGAGTAAGTGTAAAAACATCTTACTCAATCTAAAGGAGACTGCCAAAGCTTTGAAAGACGAGTGTGAAAAGAAAGAAGAATTGAGCAAACAACTTAAAATGAAGTATGAAAAATTAAAGGGAGGTAACAAAAGGTTAAGTAATACAATAATTTATTTGTAAATATTAGACAATTACTTTAACTTATTTGATACTAGCTTCACCTATGACTTCTTCAGTGCAGATTAAAAAAACCTAAAATATTGATGCTTACATCATCTACCTTCCTTTCAAAATTAGTCAAACTGTTCTGGAGATTTCCCAAAATAAATAAAGCCATACTGAGAAATGGACATAAACGACAATTTTAAAAATTGGTTTTTCGGTATTGCAAATACATCATGTGTATGAAATAGGTTTTTTTTCTATATGTCATTCACACACTCCAATCTCATTAATACATATAAATGTATCAAGTGACTTATTTATTGAATCTACTAAGTTCTATATTTTTAAATATTAGTCTGGTAATTTTTCATCTTAGTATTTCCACTCTTTGTGTACTAATTATATAAAATTAATTACAGACATGTTTACACAGAAAGGATTTTAGAAATTATAGGAAATGTAGAAAAGCAAAACCTGGAGATAGGTAACATCCTTCAAGATACTAGAAAAATACAAAAAGAAATCAACACTCTTGAAGGACAACTGGACCGGTGTTTTTCAATTGCTGATGAAACACTCTTTAAGGTTAAAAATTATTTTATAAAGTTAACTTTAATTTTACAGTATATAAAATAGTTTATTTATCAATAAATTATTACAGGATGCTAAAAAGGATGATCAAGCTAAGAAAGCCTACAAGTTACTAGCTCTCTTGCATTCTGAATGCAATACTATTGTGTCCTTAGTGAATGATACGGGAAATTTAGCCAGGGACATAGTAGACTTGGAGGATAACATTAAAGCTGAGAAGTCAAAGAGAACTGAAGATATATTGGAGAAAATACAACTTGATCTAACAAAACTACAAAAGGAATCCTTGTAATTTATATTTTTATTCATTTAAACATTTATGAAGTTATTAGGAGTAATAATAAATAAGAGATATTCACTTACATTTGAAATTTATTTTAATGACTTTGACTAATTAAGTTATTTACGTTTTGGCAATATTTCAGGTGGAATATAATTCTCATCGTTTACATCTATGTCATTTTTTTCAGTACTTGTATGAAGCTTTTCTTTATTTTCAATTTCCAAGTCAATTTTCTCTTCATTTTCAAAGAACCACAACTTTTGTTCTTGCACTTCTAATTCCTTCTGTTTCTTTTCAACTTCTACTATTCTTTGAGCTCTGGATAGTCGCTGTATTTGCTCATTTAGTTTTTCTTCCCTTGTAGATAGCCAATTTTCAAACAACTAAAAATGAAAACTAAATTTAAACAAATAAATTTTGTGGTCTGTAAAGTATTAATTTAAATTATCTTGTAACTACCAAAATAGATCAATTAGAACAAGTTTTAAATAACTGCAGATAATTCTTATCCCATCAAGAGAAACACCAGATAGAAGACAATTAATTAGTTTTTTATATTTAACAATTTAATGTTTAACAATTGATTGAAGAGGCTGTTATATTTTGTTAGATCAGGAAATTATGTAAAAAAGTAAATACATTTTTTACTTAAACTTTACATACCTTCTGTTGTGATGAAATATCATTTTTATGTGTTTTGTTAATGGCATCTTCAATTAAATTTTTAATAGATTCTTCTAATATACCATCAGCTTTTGGACATTTATTTAAAAATGAAATGCATTTTTCTAAAGAATCCTTTTCTTCAGATTTACTGATTTCTTTCTGCAGCAACTCAATTACTTCACTGTATATTTTAAATGACTTAAGGTTTTTAAAGTTTTCACATAAAGTTAAAAGAGAGTCATATTTTTTGTAATACATCCAACCAATTATTTGCAAATTGTTACTGATATTATCCTTATTGTTTCTTGAGATCCAAGCCAAAGTTTTACCAGACAATAACATTAAATCTTTAATATCAAAATGATCATCATGGTAGTAGTTCCTAAGAAATTTAACTCTTATTTTCTTTTCTTCTATTTTCTTTTTCTCTTCTGCTTTTGGAGGCTCTGGGGGTAAATCCTTATAATTGACTATATATTTATAACATGCATATTGACTTAATGTGCATGTTATTTCATTAGTAAAATCTTCCTGAAGCATTATAAGTGCGGCAACTTGTGCAGCTAATTCATATTTGTTTGATGTTATAAGTTTATCCAACAAAATATTAGCAGCAAAGTCATCAAGGAATATGCCATAGTTTAAGGGATCCTTAAGAATATCAATTAATTCTTGCTCATTCCCAAAATCAACATAACTTCTAACTGTGGCATGATGTGTCGATTGAAGTGTGTTTCCAGTTTCAGCAGACATTCTCAATTTGTGCAAAAGCTCCTTTAGTTCGTCAAGATATGTGGGCTCCTTTATAGCATTCGCAAATATGTCTACATCTATTGCACTAATAACACCTTTCGAAGCATAATTTTGATTCAAAGTAGTGTAAAAATCATTTAGATTAACATTATTTAATATAGGAGAAGACTTTTGCACATTCCAAGCTGGTTCACATTTATATTCATTCGTTAAAAATGATCGCTTTTGGACCTTTTTTACAAAAATGTACCTATTTAATAGATATTTATTCCCGCGAATCAACATATTGATTTGAATTTCCTACTTATTAATATTTGAAAATGAGGTTCTTATTTTGCGTGTTGAACCAACGATTAAGGTTAATTAATAGTAGCATGTATTCATGACGATTTTTAGTAGTTATTTAATGAGTAAAACATTCACAGTTGAAATTTATACAAATTGCACAAAAGTAATATCTTAAAACAAAATTGAAACAAAATTGTTTTGGAGTTTCAGGTTAGGTCTAGCTGTCACTGCCAGACAAAGAGTATATAAAAGAAAATAAAAAACGTCAGGTCAGATCACTAGCATAGAGAATATATATGAAAATGACAACCACTGTTTATAAAATCAAGCCGACGGCAACTTGGAACGTTTTTAACTGATCGAAATGAAATTAATCACTGAATAGTTAAAAGTTTGTTGCAACAGTTTTTATAAGAGCGTTATTATTATTGTAAGATATAAATAATTTTACTGGAATAGAACTTTTTTGACATTTGAATGTCAGTTGTCATTTGTCACACCGTGGCTCTTTTCCTGTCAAATGAAAAAATTAGAAATCCTCGCAGCAATATTGATATTGTAACTTTTAAGTAAAATGAATATATTTGTACAATGAATAGATTCTTTTGCGTTGACTATATTGATTTTATGTTTGTCAAACAATTAAAATATTGTAACCTTATCAAAACTGCGATTCTGATAACTATTCCATGACGATGACTGATTTGTATATAGCCGTTGTTTGTTCTTCAAATATGAATCGGAGCATGGAAGCTCACGCGTTCTTAGTTAAAAAAGGGTTTAAAGTTAAGTCGTACGGCACTGGTGAGAAGGTAAAACTACCAGGCATATCAGCAGACCGCCCTAATTGTTATGAGTTTGGAGTCCCTTACGATGATATATACAACGACTTATTGGAGAAGGATAAAGCATACTACACTCAAAATGGATTACTTCACATGTTGGATCGAAATCGTAGAATCAAACCATACCCTGAAAAATTTCAAGTTTCAGCAGAGAGATTCGATGTTATCATTACTTGTGAAGAAAGAGTATATGACCAAGTGATAGAATGGTTTGGTTCAAGACGTTCAGTCTATAATCAGCCAGTTCATGTCATTAATTTAGATATACAAGACAACCATGAAGAAGCAACAATAGGCGCTTTCTTGATAAGTGATATGGTCACAAAAATGGCACAAAGTGATGATTTAGACAATGACATAGATGAATTATTACATGACTTTGAGGCTAAGTGCCAAAGGCCCATTTTGAATTGTATTATGTTTTATTGATTAACTTTAATTTGCTCATCTTGATGCATCACAGTAACTTTTGCTTTCATAAAATGTGTTTATTTAGTATTAAGATTTGAGGACAAGCCTTATTGACTTATTTAAATGTAAAAGCTTGTACATAATTTTTCACATAGGCCAATGCTACTCAGATCGAAACTAATATTGGTACAATAAATAATGTTAAAATTTGTAGATGTGTTCGCTGTTCTACCTTGACCTTTAAACCCTGTCCAATGAAACAATGTTTTTTGTCTGGGACGGCAAAAGTGAAATCGGCCATGACATGAATAAATGTTAACAAAACAAATATAAAACTATGAGTTACAGAAAAATACACGTTAAGTCAGCAATTGTTGTCCAAATTTGAGGCACCATTCCGATTTCGGGGAGACGAAAATGCTGACCCACTATCCGGTTAGACTAAAAGTGCATTTCGAAAGTGAGAACTTTCCATAATGTCCTGCTTGAGTGGCCCCCTCTAGCCGATCCTGGGTTGCTTCTGTTGGACGTTGGGTGACCACCACGCCAGTATCTAATTAACACGGAAAATAAACCTCTAATTTGAAAAAAATATATATTTTATAGCATTGTAAGGGACCCCCAAGACAAGCTGATATTGATAAAGTAATACACTATAAATAAAGTCATTACAAGGAGTAGTCGTTCGTCTAATCTCAGTTTACCCCTTTACTTATGGTCCTGTGTATATTTTTTATCATTTTGAGTTTCGAAATTTATAATCTACAAAAAGGAAAGACAGCTGTCAGATAACACTGAACCACCGGACCCGGACTGTCAAGAAGCAAGTCAGACAGAAAAATATGAATTAACCTCTATTTCGGTTTTGAAATCCAATATTAATAATGAATAAAATTTTAAAACGCCTTTTTGGTGTCGGTTTAACACCAAATCATGTTCACGGTATTCATACAAGCGCACCGATTGCTGCATGGGTACAAGCTAAAACTCCACAAAGTTTTTTGAAGCATAATAGAAAAATATTCCCTCCGCAGGCAATCGGCGAGGAACCCAGACCAGCTGTGAGTTGCTGCTATTTACAAATAAACATAGCCAGATTGTAGTCTAAAAAATATATTCATTTTTAATTTACACTCTTTTTTTTTAATAAAAAGGATAATTGTGCATTCTTCTTATAAAATAATATAAATGAAGGGTTCATTTAACATTACTTGTCCACACCAATATTTTCACTGTAATAATGATTATCATTTCAGTTTGTATGTCACCAGAAAACTAATTTTAAATATAGTCCAAAAAAGCTTTGGTATATAGCTAGCTTTGTTCGGGGCATGACTGTTGATGAAGCCATAAAGCAGCTTAGTTTCGTTAACAAAAAAGGTGCTGTATTTGTTAAGGAAGCAATACAAGAAGCCCAAGAACTAGCAGTTAAGGATCATAATGTAGAATATAAGAGTAATTTATGGGTTGGTAAGTATCTATACCATTTCCTTGTAGAATGTCAATAAGTAAGAAAAAGGTGAGAGGTTTTATGAGTATGTTACACAGAGCTTTAACATTTGAATTATTTTTACTATTTTCAGCCGAATCTTTTGCAAATAAGGGCATGATAATAAAGGGTATAAGAAGACATGCTCGAGGCAGAATGGGAGAAGTTCGTTATATGTACAGTCATTACTTTGTTCGTCTTGAAGAAGGAAAACCACCAAAAGATTATTACAAACGCAATGAATTGACACCCCAGGAACAGCTTGATTCATGGTTGGAACAAATGAGAAAAAGGAAAATTATTAGTTCATACTAGAGTTCTCCTTAGTTTATATCTAGACTATTATCTGTAGTTATTTTATAGTTACTGCTGTATGATGTAGCAAGTTCATAAGTCAACAATAAATTTTAACAAGATTCAAAACTTACTTTTCTGTAGTTTTAATGGAATAATGATTTAATGCGGGTGGCACAGGACCGGGCATTGTGGCAATATGGGGGAGGCCTACATTCTGCAAAAATTAAAAGGATGGCAGAATTAGCTCAATTATTCTTAGCTATGTTTGCCACAAACTTGTATTATGATAAATTTAACTAATAACACTATTAAATAGAATGTGGTGATTGATTCTGTTAGAGTCCGGAAAAATATTTATGTAATACTTGATTTTTCAGGAATACACATACCTACACTTTAACTTAAAGTAAATGTAACAATGCTTTTTTATATAGATAGATTATATGGTTATCAAGATAGTGATTGTTATCTATATCATACACACATTTGCGCAAAGTGGATAATCTAATTAATACTTGATTTAGTGATTAATTCAACATTAGCTCAGTTCTTTTTTGGTGGGTACACATGGAGGAAATAAATCTAATCATAATCTTGTTTGGTAAAATATTTAAAATGCAACCATTTTGTACTGTTCAACACTAAGAAATGTGAATGTTTTTATGGTGTGCGAAAGTCAAAGATTTTTGAGTTAGTACTAGCACAGATGTTTCTTTGTATCAACTAAAAAAAGGATTGAAAATTATAATACAACATTCAAACAATTTTTTGAAGCTGGACTCTCGCTGTTTAAGGTAATTTACCTCATTTTATCTCATAACGGATGCTAATATGCGACTTAATGTTATTAATGTACTATTTATGTAATTCTGAACAAACTAAAAATAAAAAATTTAAAACTCTGGGTTCTCTTGAAAAATCAAAAGTTTGTAGCAATTTATGTGGATTATTGATTTAAATAGCAAGCAATTCTTAAGTGCATTCGGATTATAAGTTGGAATAAGTTTGATTACAGAATTAAATTAGCCAATACAACATTATACTTTTCTGGAATTTCGAAAACATAAAAATGGCAATATTTACTCGAGCAGCTACCTCTCATTGGTTGATCTCAATTGTCAGATATTGTCAAAATGACATTATTAGTTCACATATTTGCCGTCTGCCATAAGAACTTCGTCGAATTGTAATTGTGTATAGGAAAATAGCATTAGGTATATGTCCCGTTCCCATCAGGCCAGCTCGGTAAGCCAGTCGCACTAGAAATCAGCACTGACATAGAACTAGCCTAATGTAGACACCGACGGAAGCCAATAAACCAGTCTGACCGATAACTATGATGGTGTTCTACTTTTAAGGCCAGTTTGGCCATTCTGGCATAATGTAGACGGTCTGGGACTGTCCAGTTCTGACTGAACAATTGTATAGGTATCACACGTTATTTTACCTGTGTTTACTGTCAATTATGTTATTGTTATGTTAGCTTTTTGGTTTAAAAAATGTATGTTATGTTAAGACTGACGTAATTAAATATTAAAAATAGAGCTCCGAAGCCATAACTCAACTACAGATGGAAAAAGCTATACCTATTGATAGAATGGTTACTAAAGATTTTCAAAGTTATAAAATGTATTTCTGTCCTATCATACGTTCATTGAGTTTTATTGGTTATACATTAGTTTATGCTTATCTTCTCAGAAAATAACAGTCTACTTTTGCCTAAGTTAATTAATTGCCTAATTATAATTTCTTCAAAAACCTCTTGTAACACTTAATTGATAGCTCGCTGATGAAGCGGTTTCCATTTTTGTTTTAGACGGCATTGTCCCTAAAATCTTTACTAAGCCACGGCTCAGACTAGACTGGCACAATGCAAACAACATCGAATAAAACAGTCCATGACAGGCCAGCCGGACTGGCTTTCCGAGCTGGCCTAATGGAAACGGGGCATTATACGTCAAACTCGATTCTTGACACTCGTACTCTTTGAAAGTTCAGTGACCAAAGCGAATTCTAGTCGTGTTATTTCTATACGTATTATATTGCTTTTCGCGTTCATCTTTCTATTCTGTCTACGTCGACAACTTTTAAAAATATTCTAAATCGTGAATTTTTTTGCAATGTATATTTAAAACATTTAAAGTTCTCTAAATTTTATTATTTTATACATTGTAATGTTGGCGCAGGTGTATAAATTATAAACCAAAATATGAAATTTATTGCTCGATCACTGCAGTTTTTATTTGAATTTATTTGATATAAAATAATATTAGTTCCTATGAAGTCAACAGAAAAAGACGGACAGGAACTCGAAGAAATTGGCGATATCCGAGTAGATGAAGCACTTGCCCCAGACACACAACATAATTCTGAAAACATGGATGGAGACGCGAAAAAAACGCAAATTTATACAAGTAATAACAGATTAAGGCACGGTAATGGTAAGTTTTATTTTAATTTCTTATTACAAATACAACCTACTGAGCATAGATGGGACCAAGAATTTTTAAAATATCTTAACAAAATATGCGGCAAAATTTGCATACTCTTTGAAAAATAAAATATGTGCATTTACAGCGGGGTACCTCAAGTATGTAAGCTTGGTTGTACTCACCATACAGAATGCTGCGCTTGGTCTCAGCATGAGATATGCACGTACAAGGGATGTAGTCATGTTTTCATCTGCAGCAGGTAAGATTGAAGATTTATAAAAACAAGCGGCAATGACCAACAAATTGAGAAATGTTTAACTCATATTAGGGTAAAATCTTTCATGTAATTTGCATATTTGTAGCTTGATTTTAAGGTGTGTGTAATGAAGACTTTTGTCTCAGATCATAACCTTGAGCAATTATACACAGTGAAATAAATTCCGGTTATTGCCTTTTGTTATCTTCCTACTACTTAATTGTCTTACTTGCAAGGGTAAAGATATAATTCCTTGTTTATTTTGCAGCTGTTTTCATGGCAGAGATTGTCAAATTATTAATATGCATTTTACTTGTGATGAAAGAATCAGGAAATGTAGTAAAAGGTTTCCATACCATGTATGCAACTGTTGTATTGAATATTAAAGATACATTGCGAGTTTGTGTGCCATCATTTTTATATGTAATCCAGAATAATTTGCTCTATGTTTCTGCTTCTAATTTGGATGCTGCTACATATCAGGTGAGTTATTCATTTAAAAATTATTTACTAAGCTGCATACAAATTCCATATGATTTTTTTGTTTTTAAAATGATTCCTATGTCCTAAATAATATTTTACTTCTATTATTTTTTTTATTCAGAATAGTTATATTATTTCAATAAATTGTTATTAGATTTATGGTGGATCAGGGGTTAAGCACTTGACATATAGTCTTCCGGTGGTGGGTTCGAATTCCAATGCCATGTATCAATTTAATTCTTGATTTACATTGTAAAGGAAAACATTGTGATGTAATTTGCACATATCTGCAAAATTCAAAGTTATGTCTGAAGTCTACCCTCTCTGAACCAGTGTAGTTGACTATGGCCTAGTAGTTCTTTTTTTTTTGTTCAGGTTACATACCAGTTGAAATTACTTACAACAGCATTCTTTGCTGTGATTGTTTTAAAAAGAAAACTGAAGAGATGGCAGTGGTGCGCACTCGGGTTACTGGCGGGTGGAGTGGCGCTAGTGCAGCTGTCGTCAGCCGCGAAGGAAACAAAACCAACAGCTAATGTGCAAGATCAATCTAAAGTGATTGGGTTTAGCGCCGCCTTAGCAGCCTGCTTTATATCAGGATTTGCTGGAATTTACTTTGAAAAAGTGCTAAAAGAGTCTGATATATCTGTAAGTCTCATTTTTATTAATTTTTTCTATGTAGATTAACAAACAAATAATTTTAGTTATTTTCTATTGGCGCTGAGATAATGTGCGCAAATGTTCGTTTATCATTTTAATTTTAGCTGTATGTGGAATGATTTGTGTTTATAGAGTACATATATAATTTGCTATGGTTTTATCAACATTACAGAATAACTCCATTTGATATGTTTAATACAAATTTAGTGTCTATGTAGGAACATAGTATGATTAAAATCAGTTGTTGGATATCAGTAAATTTACAAAAGATAAACTGGTATTATACATACACATAAATACATACAAGAAATACATAATAGAGATAGTTTATAGAAAATGTGGATTATGTAGTTTTTGTATAAAAAAACATGCTAAAAGTAATTACCATTCAAGGCTAACGGCAAAACTAATCAGTAATGGTTATTCTTTTGTTACGAAATAATTACTCAGTCATTAGAATGCATTAGTACTAATAATTGGTAAAATTATGATAACAGGCGAAACATTTGGCATTTTAATTTTATCAATATCACATTCATGACACATGCCGTGGGTGTATATTGTTTAAGTTAATTAAATAAATTAGAATATATTATAATGAATTTAAAAATATAAAATATTTTATCATGGTTAACTACTGTACTCATCATGGGTTTCTGTTACCAAAATCCCCGCTTAAACAATATTGTTATCTCTGTTTTGTCAAAAATAATGACAGGGATGTCAATGTTTTATATAGAGATTTTAGTCTCAGAGAACAATGACAAATGATTGCTTAAACAGTCGCTAAGTGTTGATTTCTTATACTAAATCTACATTGAGGGATTTCCTTTATAACCACATAACGAATCTAAGTGAGGCATTAAGTCTGCAATGCACAAGCTGCAATTCTCACTAATTATTCCATTTATATTTGTTTAATGATATATTCAAATTGTAATATTAATATTTTATTTCAGGTTTGGATGCGGAATGTGCAGCTAAGTTTATTATCGTTGCCATTTGCTGCAATCACATATCTGATAAAAGATCCTGCAAAGGATTTATTAAAAGGATTCGATGGTTTCGTTTGGTATTTAGTTATATTGCAAGCGGCTGGCGGTTTGATCGTGGCCGTTGTGGTCAAATATGCAGATAACATACTGAAGGGTTTTGCAACATCCGTCGCCATTGTCATATCATGTGTTGCCTCAATGTATATATTTGACTTCCATTTGACTGTACAATTTGCTTTAGGCACAGTATTGGTGATAGGCTCGATATTTTTGTATGGATATGTTCCTAAAAAGAAAGAACCTCGTACATCTTTAAGTGTATGACATTATTTTTGTACCGAAATCGTATTATTTTATCGATATATCTGTAAATATAGTTTTGTCAGCTAGTACTAAATTGTACTTAATTTTTTTCCATTTTTTTAATTTTATAATGAATTAGAATTACTATAACACTGTTGAATCTAACGATTGCAGCTACGCTAGTTTCGAGAGCAATAATTTATGTCCTTTTATTATTATAAGAAAAACAAAGTTCTAGAGGAAGAGTGAAAAAAATACCTACAAATATGATTGGACCAGAACATCTAGTAATTCTAGTATATTCAGATCCAACAAGACATCTGCCAATATAATTAAGATATTGGAAGTAATAATGATATTATTTTTACAACGAAGTTTATAAGGTACTGATATATTTTAAAATATTTGTGTTTTATTGTAAATGTGAATAAAATCGACTTTTATACAATTTTTAATTATTAGTATAGAAATATTGCCTTTATTTTAAGATACATAATAATTCAAAATAAATTTTTATATACAGCATTGGACATATTTTATTTCTCCTGATTAAGGCATTATTTATGATTGAAGTTGCACGAATTGGCGATTGAGTTTTTGTTATTATTATTATGTTTTTATTACCTTCATTTTACAGTACATAGGTAAACGGAGGTTTTGTGTAAACTATGCCGTAACACCATGGCGTCCACAATTGATCTGACCTTTAGCCTTTTAGATAAACTAGGTCATGGCTTGTTGGCTGTGTTTGGATTATGGTTAGCACATCATTGCATACCGACGTAGATACCCTAAAGCTTTGTGTATAACCGTAAAATCCATTACCGAATAACTTGTACCCGTTGGCTTCTGCTTTATCAAAGAGAGAGAAAAGGATTGACAAAATTTTATACAAGTCGAAAGTTAACCCATAATATCTTACTCTTACGTAAAAATTGCAAATTACGTGTGTCAAAAATTATGAAAGCCCGATATGTCAACTTTCGAACATACCTAATTCAGATGTTACCAAATGTTTAGAAGATAAGCCAAAGTAAATCCCAAAATTTAAGCCAAAAAGAAGCTTAAATATACCTCACATTTCATCATTGACAGAAAAATAAATTGACTATGTTATAGCAAATTTATACGGGAAAAATAGCTCCATGTAATTTTTTTTTCACAATTGAAGCTTCATTATTGAAAACTTACATAAAATCTGCGGGTTAGTATTGCTGGGTAAAAAACGCCTTTTACATTTGTCATAGCAAACTTTTTAAGGCATAAAAATTTTGTCAATCACTATGATGGAACTGAAAGGGTTCGCGACTTCTGAGATGTAATTAGTTCAGTCAGTAATTATTGGTAAAAGTAAATTGTTACAATAGCCATTACATTACCAATACAGCTATACAAAACATACTTGACATTCTCTTTTAAAAACGGATATAACAATATGTTTTGTAAGTCGCCTGAATGTCGCAATTTGATGCTCAATTGGAGTTGTTCAACATGATAAGGATGATACAAGACCATTAAGAGCTTTCGATTTAGGTTGAGCAACGTGTGTGATGCAGATTACTTAGCACATACAGAATTTACACAAATCCATCCTTTGATTAGGAGAAGCTTAATTAAAACATTACTTAGTTATAATTGTTTAATTATTACATAACCAAAACCACATAATATTTCTATTTGTAATGGTTTCTTTAATATTATATTCTACAAGCAATAATTTAAATGAGCGCAAAATTTATTCATCATTTTCGTAATCAGCAGGGTTCTTGCGTGTGCGTCTATGATGTTCCCGGTCAACACCTTCGTAAACTAGGTAACCTACAATGAAGGCTGCAAAACCAAGAATAAATTAATTTAAAAGAAGAAGATCCTCTTGAAGACTCCAATAATGAGTATGTTCTTTTACTGAGATTAGGATAAAACAACTTAATGTTTTTTATTTCTACTTTTATCAGTTTTAAACTGCCATATATTAATTAAAAAAAATACATAAATGTCAATGTCATTATATAATTGTCGTTTATGTATTGTGGACATTATTTCAAGTGTTTTCTTAATCACATCAAAATAAATGATTTCCTCGTAAGTTTGATCATTTAAATATAATTTAGTATCAATGTGGAATTAGAGAACTGATGTGTATTCAGCTATCTAAAATTATAACAATGAACTCAGGCATTAAATAGCTACCAACATATTTAAAATATCTTAAGTTGGTTTTATATACAATAGCCGGTTACTTCCTGCTGCTGCATGTAAGTCATGTGAAATTGTACAGAAGAGGTAAAAAATTAAAGTGTTGAACACTTAACAATTATAGTATGTTAATCTACCGTATAACCTTTGAAAAAAATGTTTCTTTGTCATTTAAAAATATATGTAATGAGTTATATTGTAATAAGGATCAGCAGACTTTAGTGTTGATATTATTTCTTTTAGGGTGACATGGAAATATGGATGTATAGTAACTGTTGTGATGCTCATTAACCTATTGAATTATATTATTTAACTTACGTGGAGCAACTCTGAATACATTTTCACGAAATCTGCGGAAAATGTTTGGCAATCCATTGGATATGGCACCAGCGTAAGCGCGCTGTTCATGTGGTGATAACTTGTATGTAATCAATCCTCTGATTTTAGCTAATTCGCCGAAATGCTTTCCCATTTTTTAATTTTCTTTATAATTGACTTTGGATTACTTCGAACTTAGTTTTCTCCTTGTGTTACATAAGGAAAGTCCAGTCAAAGAGTGTAAAATTAACAATAGAGACCTAGAGAGCTCAGGAGTAGGTTAGGTAGAATTTTATAAAAGGTAAAATAGGTCTATAGCTTATTGCGGTTTTGCGATGGACTAAAAATAAGAACGAATTACATTCTGATACTTCTATGTGGTAACGTTTCTATTTCTTGTTCACAAGATTTGTTTCGAAGCTAAATATTTAGTTTTTAGTTTACCTTTTCAATTTTGGCTCTACCTTATCTGCCTTTCTTTTGTGAAATGTCAATGGATTGTCATATGTCACTCAGAATAAAGCTGTCATCTGTCAAAGAAATTTCAAACGAAAATGACAAATTGACAAGTAGACGTGATAAATAATTATTTAAAGAAGAGATGTTTTATAATGTAACTCAGTTTTCTTTAGCACTGTATAAAAACAGTCGTGTTTAAAATAAATGTAAGGCAGGTTTAGGTGGTTATAATCATATAAAAATGTCGTTAGCTTGTTTAGCAGCAGGAGATATATTTATACCAGTAGAGATAGAAGAGGGCGATATCTATGCGGGAATATTTAAAGTGCTTGAAAAAATTAGACCGGATTGGCCTTCCGAGAGAATAAAATTTAAGGTACAAAACAAAAGCCAATGAGCAAAATGTGAAAACGGTGTGTGCGTGTGTGGTGAATTCTACTATTTTTCATTCACAATATATTGTTTTGCAGCTTTTCACCGATGGTATTACAAATAAACTTGTGGCGTGTCACTTGAGCAAGGATATTGGTGAAAGTGATGATATTGTGCTTGTTCGCATTTATGGAAATAAAACTGACCTACTTATAGATAGAACTGCCGAAATAAGGTATGTTACATTTTTATAATATAATATTTTATCAAAAGAATTTATTTCATTTTCTTTTAAAGGATCGGCTTGTTTCAGAAACATCACCACACTTAATGTACTTGGCTTGGCACCAAAAATGTATGGGGTATTTAAGAATGGTCTTGTCTATGAATATTTTCCTGGTGTGACTCTCAATACTGAAACAGTAATTGATTCAAAAATTGCTACAATGGTTGCTCAACAGATGGCAAAAATGCATAAAGTGGAACTTGGAAAAGAAGTTAGTATATACAAAATGTATTTACCGCTTAATTTTTACTATCATCTACTAAAACACTACCTATATTTATGAGAAACTAGCTGTCGCCTGCAACTCGCGAAAAAAAAAATTAATTAGTAGCCTATGTGTTCTTGCAGATTATGTTCTACATCAATTCCAAATTTTAGTGAGATCCATACAGCCATTCTTGAGATACCTTGAAAGTAACATCCATCCATCTAACCAAACATTCGCATTTATAATATTAGTAAGATATCAAATCAACCCATCTGATAAAATCTCATAAGAAATCTGATTTCTTTTCATTAGATGGGTAGAAATGTGAAGAAAAATACAAGATTAAAAGCAATTTTCTTAGCTCCCATGGTGATAAAGTTGGTTAACCTTTATTGGTATTATTGCCCAAGAGTTGGTTACAGAAAGATTAGATCTTTCAGCACTTACAACTGTGATAACATTAATCCTATTCATGATACTTCAATAGATTAAAGGATTACAGTTTTTGGAGATGATAATATATTTTTTTTTGTAGATTGCAAAAGAACCTATGATATGGGATAAAATTGAACAATTCCTCTGTTTAATACCTGAATCATTTACAAAAGAAGAGAAACAAATAAGGTAATGAGAAAAAAAAACAGAAAAACACAACATTGTAAAATCATGATTTAGAACATGAATTATTGAATGGATAAAATGTATTTTTTTTTTTGGAAAATCGTCCATGTTTAAGGTTTTAATTTTATTTTAATGAATTTGTTAATTTCAAAAGTGTTAATATAGACATTTTATCCACTGTTGTAGATTTGCAAATAGTTTTGGATCAGTAACAAGACTAAGGATAGAGTTTGAACGGCTTAAATCGCAATTAATCAAAACTGAGAGCCCACTAGTGTTTGCTCACAATGATTTGCTTCTAGGAAACGTGATCTACAATGAGTCCAAAGGGACGGTCTCATTCATTGACTATGAATATGCCGCATATAACTACCAGGCTTATGACATAGCAAATCACTTCAATGAATATGTTGGTAAGTACATAGCTTGAAACATTTTATACATAACCTCAACTCAATTCCTCATTTAGTACTAGCTGTCGTCCGTGACTTCAGCTATGACTTCAAGACTGTTCTATATCTATACCAAATTTCATCAAGATCCATCCAGACTTTCTAGAGACACCTACTAACGTCCATCCATCTAATCTTTCGCATTTATAATCTTAGTAAGATATACATTGTAAGTCAAGTTTTAATTGGACTTATGAAGATAGCAAGATACTACAATATCTTTTAAGTTCGACAACTTGTAATAGACTTTATATAATATATTATATAATGTATCATGATAAGATACATCTTAGTTTAATGATAAACACACATAAAAGTAAATAGAAAATGTACATACAAATTATTATACGTACATTTTATTATGCATTACATGTACAAACATGGCTTAAGTATTTTACTTTGATACTAACACTAGCTGTCGCCCGCGACTCCGTCCGCGTGGATATATAAATGACTTAATTAGTGTAGCCCACCCATCCATCCATCCACATCACGTCCATCTAAACATTCGCATTTATAATATTAGTAAGTTAAATAAAAAGCAGCTCTTCAAGGCATAAATTTGAAAAAAAAATGAATAAATAGTATCCTATGTCCGTCTCCTGACTCTAAGCTACCTCCTCACTAATTTTCAGCCATATCGGTAAAGCCGTTCTTGAGACATAAATAGTGTAACTAAAACGACTTTCTTCTATATATATAGATGATATTTTCTAATACAAAGCAAAGCTTTTCACTTGTTAACATTGTGTGTGATTACGCTATATGTACAGATAATTTTTTACTATTACATATGTACGTATAAGAGAACTCTTATAATTAGAATAGTATCGATAACGTTTTCATCTTACACTTAGTCGTAAATTTATAAGAATCAAATCCAATAACATGAGTTTATCTAATTTGTTTCAAGCTCCGGCTGTTAATAATAACTATACAAATCACAATAGTGTCATTCACGCCACGTTGCTGACTACAATTGGCGCATTGTACATCAATAAAACGCACGTTCTCTTATTGTAAAATTCTACTGATACAATGTACGAATACATATTGTCATCTCTCTCAATATTTAAAAAAAAATAGAGATAACAATAATGTACACATTTTAACTAAGTTAAAGTTTAAACTTAAGTCCAGTTTACATTTACTTCAGTCTAGTAGTCAAACTGGATTGCAGCCAGAAAAATGTAAATGCACATTCGAATAAGTAAACACAATTGAATACACACGTGTATTCACATGCGGTTTTACTTTTTTTTTGTTGTAATCCAGTGCTGATAATGATCGCTGTACTGGAATAGTGTAAACGGGACATTATGGTTATTTTTCAGTAGCTAATAACAATTTCACTGTTAAAAGATTTAGACCTAAGCTATTGTATTTATTTAGGTCATTTGATAAACATTATAATTTAAGATTGTTGACCATAAAGTGCCTACTATACTTCACAATAAGCTCAAACAAAGACTTTAATTCTTACCGCAATTATTATTTTTATATATATACTTTGTCTATATAATAAAGATTTAGAGAAAACTAAGCATAAAATTCGTCATATATTGTCAATACAAAATCTAGGAAAATTTTACTTATCGCGTTCATGACTACTTTGTCCAAATAAATTGTAAAAGCGACATCAAATTGATAAGAAAAAGGTAAACACTTTATAATAGTCCACTTCACAACTGTTACATAAGTGCTACGCACATAACATGGGTGAATTTTATTATCTAATAAAATTATCCAATTAAAAATATACAGGAAAAGAGGTCTGCAACGGAAGACTAACGGAATCTGTGGTCTTTAGTCGTTTTCTGGACACCCTTGTTAGTCAACTTTATTTTACCTGCGATTCTTTCGGAGAAAGTGTATGATGATATGTTCATCTTGTACTCCTGATAATGTGTTATATGTCACGTTTCAGACTTTTAAGAAAACAATTTACTTCGGCAATAAATATTCATTTAACATAACATATACGCGTTATAAGACAAAATTTAATATTATTCTCGTTCATGTTAAAGATGCCGAAATATGAACGCACGATGACCTTTTTATCTTTTACCATTGACTCCCAATTACTTTTATCTTTCAGCAATACGTTCTAGTATTAAACTAATTTTTTATCGAAGATATTTATAAAAATAAATAAACAAAGTTATTCTTTTAAATGAACAATACCAAAAGAACGGATCTTTTAATATTTACAACTAGTTAACAACATGCTGCAGCACGAGACTGTACGCGCGGAATTAAAAAAAAAAATTAGTAGCCTATGTGTTCTTCCAGACTACGTTCTACATCTATGCTAAATTTCAGCGAGATCCATCTAGCAGTTCTGAAAATAAATACCTACTAAAAAAATCACATTTATAATATTAGTAAGATTTATTTGCAAATCTGTAAATTTTGAAACAAATGTGCCATTGGCCATTTTAATTTATAAAATTGCAATAATTTTCGACAGTGGCAAAAAATTATCCAGAAATTTCCCTTTTTTATCTTGTAACCTTTTAGAACTACAACAGTTCAGAATACAACATTGTTAAATGAAATTAATTTCTTACAGGTTTGTCTATAGATGACATAGATTATAGTCGATATCCAGATAAAGAGTTCCAAATGTTTTGGATTCGTACGTACTTATCCGAGTATTGCGGTGAGAAGCCCAGTGAGGAGGAGGTGCAGAAAGTGTACAAGGAGGTGCAGCGACTGTCGCTCGCCTCTCACTACATGTGGGGCATCTGGTCTCTAATACAATATGAACTCTCAGATATTGACTTTGATTTTGGAAGGTAAGATTTTATAATGTAAGTTTAGCTACCTTTTTATTAAAGAATTAGGAAGAGACTAATAGTTTATTTGATGTTAAGTATACACAATTTACCCATTATTACTTATTACATTAGATACTAAAGGATGCATGATGAAAGTTACCGCTATGACTTAGGGTCCTTCAAGAAGCGAGCGTATCATCATCTCAAAGGCCGGCAACGCATCTGCGGTTCCTCTGGTATTGCTGATGTCTATGGGCGTCGTTGAACACCTCGGTGTTCCCCCTTCTGTTATAAAAAAAGTTGTTAGTTTTGCTGTGGAGAAAAGCAGCGAAAGTAATCATCTGTAGAATTTGTTATGAACAGGTCTGTCTGTTATATTCAATTTTATTTTTTTTAATTCATTTTGTTCATAGGTATGCAGAAATACGGCTGAACAGATACTTTGACCAAAAGGATAAAATTATTAGAGAATTTAAATAACATTTATTTAGTTCTGCGATATAAAGGAATTTTGAGCCGATTTAAGTTATTGTACATGATATTATAAAATATTCCATATAAATTAAGAATTATATAACCGAAATAATCAAAAATAAATGAAAGTGAATACGAATACTGCTCGTTTTAATACTTTATATGCATTTTTCTCAAGTCAAAGAAATTCTCGTTTTTTGTTAATGCAACGAAACGTGAAGGACATTCATTCATTTCGACCTTATGTTGAATGTAAAATGTGATTGTTGCGTTGACTGCACATGAATCAATAATTCGCTTAAAAATACAGTCTAATTGATTACCTCCTTCTGTTTGAAGTTGTTTATTTATTCTTCAAATTTTTTGTTCTAATTCAGGATATGATCAGCGACAACAAGTCTTAATGCGGTGACTTGTATTTGAAAATGTACCGCGTATGACTACGTTTGAATAATTGCGCACTTGTTACAACCGTTGTAATGCACATTTAAAGCCATTTTTCACATTTTATTAACTTTAAACTAGCACATCGGATGATAAAATCAATGGTTGTGAAGGTGCAATATTAAAATAATATTGTTGCTTGTTTCGCAAAGTATTTTATGGATTTGTGGTCTAACCAATTGAATGAAAGAAAAATATATTTTTTAATATCTAATATATTAACATCATAAATAACATTTATGCAGCGAATAGTTAGCATTTGGTAACGGGTGGCGGAGGCGGCGGCGGCGGCGGGTTGGGGTTCACCTCGTCGATGTAATCTTTTGGATTTTTGCGTTTCGACCGACGATGTAAATCGTCCACGTAGAAGTATATTAATGCACCAAAAGCAAACGCTGCAAAATAGTTATTCTTTGATTGGCTACTAAATATTTCTCTTCTCACAAATATGTAATTCAAATCGTCGACATCAATCCAATTTGCATTTTGTGTACTTACGTGGCATCCAAAAGGGTAAAGTCATCAACGTCCTCGGAACCAAGTTTGGTAATCCTTTAGTTAAGACTCCAGCGTACGCTCTTTGTTCATAAGGTGATAGTCGAAAATAAAGTATTCCTCGTATAAAAGCCAAATTTCCAAATTGCTTTCCCATGTTTTCAGTATTTTATTTTAGTTTAGTAACATTGATTGATTGACACTTTTCAACTATTGTGAAGTGTCAACTTTGACATCACATGACAACAAATTTATAAACAACCAGCATTTCAAATTATATTTTTAAAAATGTTCACAAATTTTCTATATATAAAAGTCATTAGTTACGCCATTTATATCACAAGACAGCTAAATCAATTTGCCTAAAAATTAGTTGAGAGCTTAGAACCAGGAATAGGACATAGGATTCCTTTTTTCCCGTTTACTTTTTTTTTAATTCCGCGCCGACGGAGTCACAGGCGAAAGCTAATCTTTCGATATTTAAAAGAGATTAAAAGGTTAAAAGACGAATAAAACTCCTTTTATTTTGTTAAATCATTCATTTACTAAGCTTTTATAACATTAAAAATGCACAATTAACATTTGTATGGGTGAACCATTTCTTTTTCAAATGTACAAGTAGGCCAAAGGAACTTAAGAGCATTACAATAAAGTAAATAATGGAATCATACCGCTCATTGGAACTTCGTAGTTTGGGGGCTATTATAACTGTGTGATTTTAAGCATATTAATTTGTTACACGTAGCATAGATTAAGGGTTAATTTTCACTCGGGTTAAACTGGCACAAATAATCTATATTGGAAAAAGTTCTGTAAATCTAAAATTCCAAAATATTCAATTCACAAGTAAAAGCTAGTAATGAATGGTGCTATGGATATTATATTTTTCTATCGCAAAAATTTAAAACCTGTTAATATGCCATATTAAAAGATATAGAAAGGCCCTTGAAATATTTTAAAATTTAATTTCTATAATACATCGATATAATGATGGTTTTTAGACGTAAAAGTCAAAAGTGAAACATCTTTATTAAAAAGAAATCTTTTAAAACGCAAATCTTACAAAGATTTTAGAAAATTATTTTTTATTAAAAGCTTTTTTTGTTATAATAATGATATTAAAAAACAATAAGAATAACTAGAGATGGTTTTAAACAGATAATAAAAAAAAAAGAAAAAAACCTTTTGCAAAAGGGCCAATCTATTTAATGTTACGTCACATTTACAAATGTAGGAATGACAAGTATATATGTAAGTATGTTCTATGAGCTACATATTGTATTAAAAAAGTAACTGAAAACACAGCACAGAAAGTCCAATAGTTATTGAAGTGCTCGAGGCATTTAATATAATTTCATACAACTATATTTTATATAAGCATAGTAAATAATTTCGTAATATTTCATTACATCACATCTAGCTACGCGCGCAGATACCCTTCGTAATAACATTTATAAGAACTTAACTTATTCCGATAAGCATACCTCGAAGGATACACCGCAACATTGCATCGATAAACGTTCAATAATTCACTATAATAATAAAAAAATGAATTAACTAAAAACGTGCCGGTACGGTGCACGATATACATAATACAGTACATAATGTAAATACATTAAATAATAACCAAAAAAGAAACAGTTCTAATACAACACAGAGCTTTTTAGTGCATCACGTGGTAGCAAACCGCACTCGTGACGTCACAAATCGGAAATTACACGTGACATGACAAACCAGTTGTCCACTTACAATAAATATTCGCTAATTTTATCAATCGAATACTTGCTGGTGATGACGGATGCTGATGTTGCCAACGACAGAACGAAGAAAAGTTAATCATTTCTTCACTTAAAATATTTGCCAGAAATAGCTAAATATACTCCATCCCTGTTGCACCTGCGCATTCCCATATACATTCGTCTCGCTCACTCCGCATAAGCTGATAATCCCGTAGTTAATTTCATCCACAAAATATTATTTATTGCTATTTGTTAGATATTTTACGTTCGTAAACATCGATCATCCGCCATACAATGTTCTCGAAACAGTGCAATTTATACATAAGACTAAATAATAAGCTAAATGCATGTACCAAGCAATTTTAAGTACGTCAATCGTTCTTTAATATTACTGAGCCGAATTTTTCTACAGATGTATATTGATTTGAAAGTGTTTCATAATTTTGTAAATCTACATTTTTATCACAAAGAGTAGTTGTTTTAATAGTAATCATTAACTCTTTAAATTAAAACTTACCATCCTTTCTAAAGAAAATGTACCTAGTAGAAGTTAAGAATCGCAATATTATTGTAATTATACAAATAACGGATTAGTATTGAATAAATAATAACATTACAGACATATCGAGACAAAAATAATAATACAAAAAGAAAACTCAATAAGTTGGCCCACTTGGCAAATTAATAAAAATTAAGTTTCATTGTCAATATAATAAAACGAGCTATTTATGTAGTTTTAAAAACATAAACGTGAATTATTTAGTCTTATGTTTAGGTGTGAATTAATGTGAATGAGTGTGTATGTGGGGGAGGTCTACTCGACGTCCATCTGCTCGTGGGGCTGGTTCGGGGCTTGGGGCGGGGCCTGCTGCTGGCCGTCGGGCTGGGCGTCGCCGGGCGCCGCGCTCGCCGGGGGCGGAGTCTTCTCCTTAGGCTTCGGCTTGTTTAGGATCGGGTTCACGATGCTCTCGAATGACTGCAAATCATTAATCAACATGTAAATTAAGTTATATAGGCATCAAAGTGTCATATAATGAAAAGGCAGAGATTAATTTTTTTCCATATTGAAAGAGGGGCTGTGGCCATGTCCAGTAGCCGAAGAGGCACTTCAAGAAACTTATTGCAGTTATTGTCCCTAGCATATATGTCTAACACGGTGAATTGATTGCATGACACATGACACTAGGGTATGTATGTAGTGTTCACCTGTCGCTCCTGGCGGATCTGGTGCGTGGTGTGCGGGGGCGGCTGGTGGCGCGGCGTGTGGGCCAGCGCTTGCCGCGCGCTCTCCACCCAGCTGAGCGCGTTCTTGCTCGCCTCCAGCACCTTCTGGATGTCCGCGTCGCTCAAGTGCGCGTACTTCGCGTCACCGGCCCTGTAAGTGCAATTATTCAAAACATTATTATTTCATTCATGTATGCCAGACATGTAGTTTGGGTATTTAAAATCATGTTATTCGTAGTGATTATGTAATTAATATTTTATGTTACACATAAATGCAATTGATCGTATAACATGCTTTTTCTTTAGGTTTTTATTAAAAAAAATATAATTTGTGTTCGTAACACCATTTATCAAATCGGATATTCGATCTCTCGTAATCTTACTAATATAATAAATGTCTAATAATATAAATGCGAATGTTTGTATGGATGTTTGTTTGAAGGTATCTCAAGAACGGTTGTATGTATCTCGCTGAAAAAAGCATAGATGTAGAACATGATCTGAAAGAATACGTCGAGTCGCGGGCGACAGTTAAAAAAATATAATTACGTAAACTCAATATACTTTTTCTAAATTGCTTGGTAATCGAACTTTACATTTGGACTGTAAGATACTTAACCATTCAACAAACGTAAGGCGGAGTGAATATTTAATACATTAGCTTCATAGCAGGGCATGTGGCATGTGGTATGTGGTATCGATCAAATATCATTGACCTACATTACTCAACCTACAAACCTCACGTCACTATGGAGATAACACAAGTACATACATCAACATGTCTACTGATTATGTAATTTGTCTTACTATTAAGGACTAATTTACGAACTAGATTTCAAACAAATTCCAGAAGTAATTTCTCATTTTTTTCATGGCTTTCGCCTTTCCAAAGTTTTAATTTTCAATTAAGTAATATAAGCAAAGCCCATCATCCTCATAATCGATCCTATCTTTAAAGAAAAAATAAATTAAATTTAGTTCTTTATATTGAGGAAACCCTAATAGTAAGTGTTCGTGGATATGTTAGTGAAAACAGATGTCAATATCTGCAGATATTTGATTTGTTTGATTTACTTACTTGAACTGGTCGACGGCCTTGTTGGTGAGCTGTATGGAGAGGGCGAAGTCGTCGAGGGCTCCGGGGCGCAGCTCGAACTCCAGCCGCCGCTGCTTGATGGGCTCGCCCTCCGTCCGCAGCTCAGACAACTTGTCGCTATAAACCTGCATACAAACATGTCAATTAATGTTCCCATTCGATTGTATAGTGAACTAAGTTATTTAAAAAAGTTGTTAATTAAAATTATAGAGAAATGTTTGTTAGAAAGTATCTCCAGAACGACGCCGTGTGAGTGAAAACCACTGAAGGGCAATAAGGTTATTCGTGGTGTTGGTGCGGAGTAGTGGGGGTGCGGGGTTTGCCAACCTGTCTGTTTTGATCCTCGCCCTCATCATATAGCCACTGCTCGAGGGCATCGAGGTGGGAGACGAGACGGCGACGCTGATCCTCCGCCACGAAGTCGTGCAGCGCCTCGCCGGCGCTCAGCTTGCCGCGCAGCTCGTACACGTACTCCTCCAGCGCGTTGCGGGCGTCCGCGCGCTCCTTCTCCTGACGGTCCTGGGCCTGCATCTTACCCTACAAAACAAACATGCAAATATTAAATCAATTTATCATTTATCACTATGTTTATGTTAATGGTTTTATTGCCGCCGAAATATGAGATTAAAATATCGCCATAACAGATTCTGGCAAAAATTCCTGTGAGATGGTTTATATTTTCATTCACTGCAAAGTGGCGTAAATTTTAAAAACTTATGATTAATCAGTACCTCTTGTTCCATGTAGGTGTTGACGTCTTGCAGCGAGAAGCCGTGCGTGCGAGCATCTATGGGCAGCTCGATAGTCTTCACCAGCACTTTCTTAGATTTGTCCTTAGACTTATCCTTTTTATCGTCATTACCTTCCTGTAAGCATACGCACAAGTTCATAACTCTTACATTTACCACGTCCCCACCACCGTCACAGCTTGGAACTAACAATACAATCATATTTTTTACATAATAATTCAATTTAGCTATAGATTTCCAAGCAATGCGATGACCCATTTGCACCTAAATAACACAACAAGCAGAAAAACCAATTTGCATCGTAGAACTTAATTCAATTACTATTAGAGGAAGTAGGTAAAACAATATCAGGGGTATAACAAAACATGCGTGGACACAGAGTAACTCCGCTGTAAACTTCAAACAAAAATAAGTATCTTCAAAA